ACACGAGTGAGCGTAGCGATTTTCAACACGAGAAGATAAAMTTCGTATCTCCAAGCGACCATGTAATATTCTATTTATCATATAATTGTATATGAAAGCAAATTATGTCGTAAAATAGCTTTTTGCTTACTTCCGCTATATTAGAGAAACCTCGAATRMGTTATTTTCACTAGTGAAAATAACAACTTTACGMAATTGAGAAATATATAGGTATTTCATAGATAATTATATGATAATTGAATTTATTATCTTGCATATTATGCTTGTGAAAAAATTAAGGTATTTCTAGATCTTTCAAGTTATTTGAAAAAAAAAAAAATAAAAAATACTTGGGAATGTATTCTTGTATTTTGGAAGGAAACAGCCAGAATATAATAAGCTTCCATGCCAGTTTATTTTGTTGTAATTAAGCCTTTATAAACTACTTACGACGGTTTAAGTAGATCGATAAATAAGGTGACTGCCATTTCAGAAGGAAGCATACTCAAAGGAACAAGATTCTAAATAAATAAAAATAAAATTTAGCTATAAAGAATTGTTTCAATGTGCTGAATTTGCAATGAGGGTAGTTACACCATCAAAACTTCGCACTTTTTTACGACTTTTTTAAACCTTTTTTTACATCGCATATTTGAGCTCAATTTTACGTTTTTAGAGATTTTGAAGCCGTTAAAAGCAAAGAAAAAATCCAAATAAAATGAAGTGGTCAAGGTTTTTAAAGTGGAAAACTGATGCGACGAGTACAAAAAGATGAGCAATTTGTAGCACATTAAACTCTCTCTCTATAACTTTCTAAGTTTCTAGGTTAAAAGTGACCAAACACAATCCAATTCAGAACACATCATCTCACCCTTCAAGTTTAAGTTAAACAGATATTGTTCTCCTCGAGTTAAACGAAAAATTATCACATCTGTAAATCTAAGCTAATACTGACATAATCGCATTCCAAACACGAAAAACAGAAAATCCTATACCCACACCTAACAATATTTAAAACTCTTTTCGGATTAATGAATTAAAGCGCGATTTTAAGAAGAGCTGATTGTCATCAAAAGCCTTTACCTTTACTTCTTATAACCCTGCACTTGCGACGTGACTGAGCACATGTGAAAGACAACGTTTGAAGTGGTTGAGAGTAGTCTAATCTCACAACTCAAAACAGGCGAGATTGGCCTCTGGGTATAAGGGCCTCCTACAGTTAGATCAGCTTGATATTTCACAAACTGTCTGCAAGATCCGAACATCATATCGAATAGGATTTATGACTGGAACTTTGTATTTTAGATATGCTTCTCATATCTGTGGGAGAGAAGTGGAACATAGTTAATGGTTCTAATAAAAGCAACTAAAATGCTATCGTGACGTGATGAGAGCTACGAAAACCGTGCGTAAACGCTATCCTAACCGTACTTTATGGTTCTCAAAGCAAC